ACAGTGTGTTCAGGAAGATTCAGCGTGTGTGCTGTGGCTCAGCAGGAAAGCAGTTGACTCACGATCGCAGGGTCCCTGGTTCAACGACTCGTCAATACGTATGTTTTGTTGTTTATAAAAACTACAGCTAAATGAGATAATGTAGTTAATGTATTCTTTAATATGGTTTAGCCTTTCTCAGGCTACAACATGGTTAAGTTTATGAATATTAGTAAGGAATACAAATCCCTCTTTGCAATGTTTACCAGCNAAAGTAACAGACAGAGAGTCAGCACTTTGGAAACAGGGCTGAAACAGAGGGGATTATGGGTAATGCTGCAATGATCTGTTTGGTGTTTTGAGCCAATCACTTCAGAGACATGTTTTGTACTCATCACTAACCTAAGAAGCATATCAATGATTAAACTAGTTAATTTAACCTGATTCATCATGGCTCTTTTCACATGATATCCATCCCCGCTGTTATCTCTCAGGAAGGTTGATCCCACGCGTTGTCCTATTGATCTGATGTACAGCCCTGATAAGACTGAAAATATTCCCATATCAGATTCAAGCCAACGGACTCGTGTTCAAACCACGTTTTGCCTCGGGGTCGGGCGAGTCATTTCATACTTAATGATTAATTATGCAAATATAAATGCTCCGACGGCCACATTTTATGTTTTCCCACTAACTTCAGTTCACAGAGTAAACTGTAATTCATCGTGACATTTTGATAACTTCCTCTTGATGTCAGTATGGCGTTTGAGTGATCGTTGCCGACACTTTTTTACACGTGTGTGGAAATTAACAGCATTATAAATCATTAACTAGCTTTCTATCAAGGTCATATATCAAATCATTAACTTGTAAAAATAATAGATTGCATGTAAAACAGAGGTTAAAAGTGACCTTGTTTATTTTATCAGTTGAATAGATTAAATATACATAACTCTTCAATAACTAGACATTTAGCTGATGTAATATAAGAGAATATGCTGGGTTTTAAAGAAATCAACTGGGGGTCTTCTATGGATTACTTTCTTCTTGTTTAAGTTTCAAACATTTCCCAAAACAACTGAACACATTTTACAAGAGGACACATTTGGTCGGGACACTTTTTGGCGGTGGATTAAAACACATTTTGTGCAAAAGTACGTTTTTTATGGCTCTAGGATGGTGCATGTGGGATTGGATCAAAATGATATGTGTTCTCAAGGTGTTACTAAGATGCATTCATTGTTGGTTTTATTCTTATAACCGGAAAATATTGGCAATAAGTGAACAAAATATTGATTATTGATAACTTTGAATTAAGCAGGGGTAATATAAGTAAATATGCTGGAGTAAAGAGTACGAGTGGTGTTTTCAGGGTATATGCAGGAATCCTGAAGTCAAATGTAATTTTAAGACCTTTTTAAAGACCCTTTCCATACATTTTAAGACCTCATCGCCACTTTTGAGTTCTAACCGGTTACCTTGGCGACACACTTTACCTCACATTTACTATATACAGTATTGTTTGTCCTTCCTCCTTATCTTCCAACCATTTGGACGCAGACTTGCATTTCCCCATAACGATGTTGCTTAGCAACCGGCGTAAACGGACCTCAAGCAGCGAGCGTGCGATGTCCTGTTCAGATGACGTCACACCCAACGGGATGCCATAAAATAAACTACACAGAATCACACTACACACCTACGCAATGATTACATTCAGGCAGACTGTAGAATACAACCTCTTTGGACCAACTTATTGAAAACAAGCTACAAAATGTAATACCTTGGAAAATGCCGTTTAATACTTTTTAATAGCCTTCATTTTCGCTAAATTGATTTATCAACTTTTAATACTTTTGAAGACCCTGCAGACACCCTGTTTTTTTCTATAGATGTATTGTCTTATTGTTTATTAAGTCTAAGACAGCTGGGCACTGGATTTTGTAGCAAATTGTAATCAGCTGTTTTTCTAGAAAATATAGTATGAGGGCAATACTGTGACACTGATCTTGTATATAAGATATATTAATTATGACCCTGTTAATCAAACAGGGGGAAATTGGTGCATTTGTTGGGGACTACTTCCATCAGTGGATTAATACAAAGAGTCTTTCTACCAGTAAAATGGTGTTCATGGATTAAATCAACATAAAATACAGTGTGTTTTCACCGTTATAAAGGAACATATTCACAATAAAGAGGAACGAGACATATCGGACGTTGGCTGCCGGTGATACTTGTTGGTAAAATACATTCTTTGTTGGTTCGACTGTTATCTAGGATTTGATGCCATAAGAAAAATAAAGACTATCTGTTACTTTATCCTTTAAGGCTCAAAGGAACTTGAGACACTGGTTGTTGATGGTCCCATTCGCTAAACTGCTAAACCTCTTTACTGGTTTAAAGGAACTTTGATTGAATGTGACTGTAGTAGGATTAGGATGCTGAAACACTGGATTAAGCCACCAAGCCTGCAAAAAAAAAAAATATCACAAATATTTACGATAGAGCTCAAATCCATGTGATGAGCATCCGTGGCAGAGTATGAGTGGATTATCTTTCTGAATAGTGTTTTCAGTACAACAGTGAGCAACCTTCTTCTTTGTGACTAACAACAGCTTTCTTTATGGTTCTGTGAAGGCTGGAGCTTCTTTGGTTATCAGCTGAGCGCTTATTTTGTCTGTGCTGTAATCCCCCCCATCGTCATCCATGGGGGAGGATGACAGATTCCAGCCCTGACCCAAATTCACAGATAGGCCTTGAGAGACAAAACAATACCAAAAGCTTACAGAAAAGCCCCTAATTACCTTATAGGTGTGTACGTGCTCTTTTTGGCGTGCGATAGGGGATCCACTGAAAACAGTAATTTCATCTGCTTGGTAAAACATCCATCAAACCCAATAACGACAACAACTTCAGTCCTGACACGCGGTCATTCTCACGGAATCAGTTTAGGAGAATGTACTTAAACTTAAACTCCCACTGTACTTTTTACATTTATGTTTAATTTAATATTGAATAATCCATTTTGATCCAG